TGGGGTATGCTGGTCTGATGGGGTATGCTGGTCTGATGGGGTATGCTGGTCTGATGGGGTATGCTGGCCTGACATGCTATGCTGGTCTGACGGGGTATGCTGGTCTGACGGACTATGCTGGTCTGATGGGGTATGATGGTCTGACGGGGTATGCTGGTCTGCTGGGGTATGCTGGTCTGATGGGGTATGCTGGCCTGACAGGCTATGCTGGCCTGATGGGGTATGCTGGCCTGATGGGGTATGCTGGTCTGACGGGGAATGCTGGCCTGATTGGGTATGCTGGTCTGACAGGGGTATGCTGGTCTGACAGAATATCGGCTCATGTAACCCCAATAGTTCCCAAACATCTGTCCGTTAGTCTGAACAGCTGCTGGCAGATGGAGCCAAAGAAAACGTCTATTAACCAATAATTTTAATTGATTACTTGACTTACTGTGGATTTTAATATTAGCAGCAGGAACATTTGTCACTGCTCTAAAACTTTGAGGGAAACAAGTTGCAAACTAAATTCTAGATCGAAGTCTTTCTATGCTGACATCAGAACAACTACGGTAGTTACTGATAAAGTTCTGCAGGTAAAGAAGAAAATGAGATGGGAATAATTTTAGCGTTTTAAATGTCCTGCTAGTGTTTTCTGCGTGCTAGCGGAACTTGGTCCTCCTACGTTCTTAACAATCCCTGATTTGCTAACAGGGCATCAATATTCCAGGATTGGCTCCTTTAGAACCCAAACAGCTCACGTTTAGAACATGTTATTCAGTCTGTTCTCTGCTTGCTGGATGGAACAACATCTAAACGGTCTTGGTTCATTCTTCTTTTTCTGTAAAAAACAATAATTCTGTGTTTGGGATTGGGTCTGGATTATTTCCTCATTCTTCAGGTTTCGTCCACCAGAGGGCGACACCTGTGGTTTGCTGCCAGGCTGCACCTACAGACCATGAGCCTCATTACCTGAGATGAGTAAGAGAGGCAGGAGTCCAGTCACTCTCCATCTCTACTAACTACCCGATCCCTGAAGTTCACCATTCACCTGGAAGAACTAAACTCCCCACCTCTGACTTACAGCATCAACCGGACCTCCCCCGCCTCTCCCTGGCAGAAGGATTCCTTCATACAGGGAAGATGGCTGCCTCCTGCTCCATCCCTGCACTTCCTCATCTCCCATTACCTCAACCCTCCTCTTTAATAAACTCAGCTATCAGATTCCTTTGTCTCTGGGAGTTTTCTCTTTGCAGGAGGGTCAGAGGCCTTGTCTGTGTTCTGGTACCGATCCAGTCGGCTCCTCATACTCTTTCCTTTTTAGTTTTCTGTTAACCTGAAAATGTGACTTGGTGTTTATTGTGAGTGTTTGTAGCGATTTGGCTGCTGCCTCACCAGGGTTACATTAGGTTAGCCCTCTGAATCTCAATGGAACTTCCTGCTTGAATAAATGTTCAATGAATAAAACAGAAATTCAGTTCAGGTCACTTATATGAGAATGTGTAAAAAAACAACTCACCACACATTTTTATTATAGGCTACATGTTATGTGAAATTTAAAAATAACGTTATTACAGGAGAACTTTTACTTCCATTTAAGTTGCTTCTTCAACAGTAACAATAAACTGGCGGTGTGAAATGGCTGTGCTGATCTAGTGGCAGGAAGTGAGTAAAGTGGAGTCATTTCCTTCTCTTCGTGGAGGAAATGACTCAGAAACACAGAGAATAAACTGTCTGCAACTCCCTGACCAACATTAACTCTGCTTTCCATTCTTTGTATAGAAGTTGCTCTGAGTTTGGTATCTCTAACTTTCCACATCATCGGGATACAAATTGCATAATTTTGCATTTTGCTAAGGCACAGGTGTCAAACTAGTTCCAGAAAGGGCCGTGTGGCTGCAGGTTTTCTTTCCAACCAAGCAATAGCACCAGACTCCATTCATCTCATCAAGTCATCATGTTCACATTGGACTCAATTGATGAGATGACTGGACTCTGGTGAGCTATTGCTTGGTTGGAAAGAAAACCTGCAGCCACACGACCCTTTCTGGAACCAGTTTGAACCTCCTGTGCTAAGAGGTTTGATTCCTTCTAAATAATAATAATTAAACATATCATCGTACATTCCTGCACGAAGCATGACTGCTTTATTTTCATGAATTGACCACAAAACTGAGAAACTAAGAGAGCAAACAGTTCAGGATTATGGCAGTAAAGTGGGACAACATTGATCCATGGATGGAATAACTTCTACTAACTTCTATTCCAATAAATGAGTACATGATAAATATATCTATGAAATCAAAGAAAACTTACCATCCATTTCCTGAATTGGTATTTGCCCAAATATGTGTAAATATGGTCTGTAGAAGACTCTGCGGAAAATCCAGTTAGGGCGGGGGTCGTAGGCGTAGAGGAGTGCTTGATGAGCGACTCCATAGGCCATGAGCCAAACGGCCAGGAAGAAGAGGAAGAAGAAAACATCTTTCACCTGAAGGAAGCAGAGGGGGAGGAGTCAGAGAGGAGCCTGGAGGCATAACCCTCCAGCGTTGGCGTCCCGTTAGCGATGTGAGGTCACAGTTCAATGCTCACCCTGCTCTCTGTGTGCTGAGCTGTCTGCTCTCTGCATTTAAGGTTTGAAGTTTTCTATCTAAGGAAAACCAGCTGACTGCATCGACTCATTGACTCTTCAGCAATCCCTC